TATAAAATAGAACCACCTTTTTTGTATGTACGCGCATAACTCAAAAAGCACCCAACGGATTTTAGTACAGTTTTCACTAATTAATATAGGTCTAGATTTAGGGAAAGTTTTAATATACAATTTATTCGTACAACTTGATTAAAAAAATAAAAAAATTATTTGTGCCATACATCGGTATATTCTTAAATAGCATAATATCGCCCCGTGCACAGATTTCTATTGCGCGGAGGCACTTTCATGAAGTTTCAAAAACAGTGTCTCGAGTTCGATCTACAGTGCCAGACACATGTTTTTTGCATTGTTTTTCCGCATTTTACTTAGCTATTAGTTTTCACTCAACGATTATTATAACGGTTATATTGCGTAATCTTAGTTTTTAAGTTATTTCAGTACACATACAGATAACACATTAATTATCATTGTCGATGCGCATGGTGGGGGGGAGCTGCTGTGCGCATGTTTTTTGATGACTAATTTGCTGGATCTAATTGAAAATGTTTACCCAGATGTATCAAATATTTCGTCTAAGACGTCAAGTTGGTTTCATGAAAGGTCAATATTGTCACCAACTAACGATCAAGTCAATAAAATAAATTACATGATAGGTACTGTTAAAATTCAATGCACCAACAAAAGTGTACTATTCCGTTGACTCTGTTTTAGATACAGAGGAGGCGATACATTATCCAACTGAATTTTTAAATTCTGTACCTCCTTCAGGGACTCCACCATACAAATTAATTCTAAAGGTAGGTTCTCCTATAATTTTACTTCGTAACTTAAGTCCACCAAAATTATGCGACGGTACAAGATTACAAATAAAATCTTTAAAAAACTGTCTGCTTGATTGTATAATCCTTATTGGCTGTGGAGGAGGGGATGGTCTTTGTTCCTAGAATACCAATGATACCAACTCATTTTCCATTCCAGTTCAAACGGTTGCAATTTATAGTGAAATGAAGCTTTTCAATGACTATTAATAAGGCACAAGGTCAAACATTAAACGTTGCAGGTTTAGACCTAACTGTCCAGTGTTTTTCCCGTGGTCAATTGTACGTAGCTCTGTCACATGTCACATGCAAACAAAATCTATTTGTGTTGGCCCTAGAAGCTTAAAGTGATGTATCCAGAAATATTTAATGCTTAAGACAAATTGATAAAATTGATAAAAAAATAAAAATCGTACATCATAACGAAACAAATATATTTCACACTTATATATAAAAACATACTAAAAAAATTAATCAAATTAAATATCTGATAAAATGCATATCAAACTTTTCACATATTCCTAAACATATATAAATGTACTGAAATCTAGCAATAGCAAAGCATTGCCGGGTCAGCTAGTTTAATATAAAAATAAAATATAAATAATTTTACCAATTGTGTCCTTAACATAACTATCGCATTCATTGCCTTGGGTGACTTATGGTCATTCGTTAATATTGGTTTCTGCATAAAAATAAATGAATGAAAATTAAATACATAAGGAAAATATATTTTTAACCAATACACTCACTTTCAGTTTAAAATTGGTGCTTTGGCTGCAGGCACTGAGAAAAAATTAATTTTTGTTTGATTTGAAGAAGAACCGACTTTTTATTACATATTACTTCTATAGGAGGCGACACGAAAAGTGGCCCCTGTGTACCGTGACTCGTTATTCCTACCCGACGTTAGCCATTGGGTTCTCAACCTATTGTCCCGCATACTGCATGGCTGTCGCAGTGCCACTATCGTAATACATATTTTAGTTTACTTGTTTTTTTTTGTATGTGTATTATTTGTTTCAAGTTTTTATGTTTTTTATTTGGTAAACATCTTATTGGTTAATAAAATATTTAAAGTATTTTCAGTAAATTAATTTTTAATTCAAAGAAACTCGGCAATTAATTTAATTACGTTGTGGCCTACTGAGGTTAAACGGCCTCTAGGTCCGTCACGGGTAGAGGCCACTTTTCATGTCACCGATTATAAATTTAATTTTTTCATAACCTGGAATGTAAACATGATTTATATTTGATGTTTATTAAATTTAATACATTAATAAATATTAAGATATGCAAAATAAACACACAGAGAAACGGAAAATGTATAATTATATTTAATAATAAAATTTTTAGGCAGTGACAACACTATCTTTTTGTGTGGTCACAATTAGATTTTTCCATATGTATAATATGTAGAATAAGGAAGATCCAATCGGATCGCCGACCTTTCGCCGCCGCCGCAGCTATCACGTTTTATAATATATAACAATTTTTTCAAATTTTGATTATTTCAAACTGTAGAAAATGTGGTAGGTAATTTATTTGATTTTATCGTAGTTTATACTATAACGATTCTGTATAACGTGTTTCAGGTATCAGGTTATCGATCGTAAGCGGTGACGTTCGTTTCCACGCACAACTTGGATTTTCTATATTCTAAGCTGTTTCACTGTTTTTTTTTTTCTAATAAAAATCAAACTATAATACTATATTCGTTGTTTTGTCCTTGGTATTCTTAATACAATAACCTTTATCCATAATATACCTAAATATTATAGCTGGACATTACTTAATCATAGAAGTTTGAATACTACGGTGTATTACAATACTTTGTTAAGAATGACTAGAGGTAAACAAGTAGCTATTTAGTTACACCACGAGTGACATAATATGTATTTGTTATTATTGAATATTTAATTAAGCACACAAGTTGTGTAATTATTCAATGCAATGTAACATATAAGTACACAACTGTATAGTGTATATTATATTATAATTAGTTGTAGATATTTTATTTGTTAAGAGTTTATTAATGGTAATTTAATAATTTTATACTACAAATGTTAGGTACACAAATTGTCTAACGTTTATGAGAATTAAATTAAATTAGTAAGATTTCATTGATATGAACAGCCATTTATTTACATGTAAACTGCATATTATAATTTATTTTCATAAATTTACTTAACTTGCATAGTATTCAATTTACATGGTGTATTAAAATAACCTTTATACTATGATAAAATACTGCAATTTATTTTGCAAGTAGTACTCTGCATTTAATGACTAAAGTTCAATTGTATATGGTTTAACGTTGATGCTATAATAATATATATATGCACCTATATTACATTGTACAGAATATGCGCATATTGCATAATAAAATGTATGCACATTAAATAAATAAAGAAACTATATTTTATTTAAATTTTATTAGGCATATACAGAACAAAACAAAACGATATAATGATGTACAATATGTACAAAAAAATGTGTAAGTAATTAATTTTAATATCAATTGAAACTTTAGAGGCTTCTAATTCCCACCATCGATAAATATCAAGAACAAAGTATATTGATCTCTTATTCTGAATATTCTTCTCCATGTGAAGGGTAGAGAATGATTCAACGAAATTCTATTCATTCATACGATATATCGATAGGTCCTGTAAAAATTAAAAAAAAATTCTCAATAACCCATTTTTCTATGGCGCATAATGTAATGGGAAGGGTTTAAACGTAATGCAAAAATGAAGGATCCATATTTTTTTCAAATTTGGACTTAAAGGGAAAAGGAATCAAAAATTACGATGGAATATTCAGAAGAATTTTATTTTCAAATTAAACTTTGGAGTATTCTAATTCATACATCGATATATATCAAGAACAATCTTATAGATTTCTTTTTTTAGTAAAATTTCTTCCAAGTACAGTCCCAAGTAACAAATAAACATTTACTTAATAATGAACCATGATTAATTTTTAAATATATAAAAATAATAATAATTGTAGAACATTGGTTATTGATTGAGGTTACATTTTTAAATATTACACCATGATTATATAAACAATGAATGAACCAAAATTATATATTTATTTCACGATTTTTTAAAATTATTTAATAAATATCATGCCCCAATCATAATTAATATTAATTATTTCATATTCTTAAATATTTCCCTTACCACAGTTTTTATGAATTAATCATGATAATTAAATATGTATATCAAAGTAATATTTAATATATTATATTATACTATGATTATATTGTATCTTTTAATCGAGCTTTTAATAGTACCTACTCCATCTTCATCACCGATAAAAGTGGTTAGATGAGTCATTTAATTATACTATAGAGTATATATTATATTAACTTACTGAAAGTTGTGATTTCTTGGAAAATAAATATAATTATTATTATATTATTATTGTACTTAATGTTAATATTAAATTTTAGGTCATACCTAACATTATATTATGCAGCTAGGTATGTACATTTTACATGGTAATATAAAAATACACAAACACATCATATAACGTATATACGTATATTATTGGAAAATGAAAACAAATTAGTGTCATATAATTTAAAGGATAATAAAACATAAAATTATTATTATTTTTTATATTTATCAGCAAATGGCGCTTGTGCTAAGTATATTTTTATTGGTTCTTCAATCTCGTGATCACTAGCGTTCTTGAATTTGAGTTGTTTTTTTATGGATTCTAAAACAAAAAATACATTTCCAATTTTACAAAATATATTCAATTACAATTTATCACTATAAGTAGTAATTACAATAATTACATGGTAAACTATTATAAATTAATATAGGCTAACCGTAACACTTTTTAGGTTTATCCGACAATTTTTAATAAAATACATTAGTGACCAGACACAGCTGGTATTAAAATTGGAGCATTAATAATTGAGATGAAAATTTGTTAATGAAAAAAAAAAATTTTAATATTACCTATTGTATAACTTATAGCTTATCATACCTTTTTCTCAGAATTTAAAATGTATCGGATGTAAATAAATAATTTAGTATAGGTACTAGCAATAAGTAATATGATAGAAATAAAAGTTCTAATTTATAATATGAAAATATATTAAATTTAGTAGACAGATTTTTTTCAAAAATAATTATTTCCATCTCTAATAATTAACATTAAATTTAATCAATACAATTAATACAAATTATCAAATTATCAAATATAAAAATATTTGAAATTAAAATGAATAATAATAATATATTGTAGAAATCTCTAATAGTTTAAATCATTTAATGAACTAACCAGTATATTATAATATTATGTACACAAGTCTAAAAATTAAAATGGTTTTATAGTCATTATGGCTGTAAATACATATATAAGCTTACCAGCTAACCAGGGTATTGGGTAAGATATACCATTAAAACTATGTAACTAGTTACAAGTTACTAGATACTTTTATGTTGAGTAACGAAATAAAAGTTATATTATGTAACTAAGTTGCATTTTAAGTTAAAAGTTCCATTGGTAAAAGTATAAAGAATATAGGGCTATAGGTAAGATTACGTTATGGTCGTCATGTTGAGAAAAAAAAAGATGTGCCAACTATAATCGTATAACCACTGAAAATCCAGTGGCCAGTTAATTGTAAAAAGAACAATTAACAAATACCTATATTTAAAAAAAAATCTTGATGTATACTTTTAAACTGGTATTGTAACAATGTGTGAGGAACCTTCAACCTTGAATTAAATAAAAAAAAAAAATAAAAAATTTTAAATGTCTGATAAACAACTCGAAGATTCAAATATTTTGAAAATGTTATAAAGTATAAAATTATAAAATAAATATATGGTGTAAATTTCAAGTAGGTATCTATGGTAAATATATAGTTATTGAATAACAACAAAATAAGAAAATCGGTGTATGATTACATGTAACTATGATATGCTCAACCCTAGATGGTTATCTTAATAAATTATTGTTTCAATAATTAAAACAAAATATTTAAAGTGGGTACCTAATATACAATTTCAACACTTACTTAAAATTATGGGAAGAATAAATAAATCACAAAACTTCTTTTTTCCCTTCTTCCCAGAAAATGAATATTGCGAGAGCAAACTATTGGTGAATAGTTTAGACATTATCCTTTTGACAGCAGCTTTCAAATTTTTCCCTCCGACACAAGATAACTCATGTATCTGAAATTACATTGACAAATAATTACAATATAAAAAATATAACATTTGTATTAATAGTAATAATAGTTGAGTAGGTATGTGTTCTTATTTACCAAATTATTTTTAAACTCCAAATCTCCTAAAGTTTTATCCTCAAATATACTCAAGTCTACTTCACTGTCTATTGGTAAAGGGCAATCTGTCATGTTATTAGTCTCTAAGTTGGTCATATGATTTTTGGTTTTTCCTTCTAATAGATTTTCAATTGAGAGCAATCTTTCCGAGTTTTCATTTTGAATGGATAGTATATGTTTTAGTTCGACTTTAAAGTACATTATATGGCGTAAAATCTGTTTTTTGAATTCACTATCTAAAAGTTTAGAAACATTGTAGGTAGATACAATTATCAACATCTTCAAACGGATTAATCTAGTTATTTTACCAGTACATTCATCACCAACTGAAGGAGTAGATCTTGGTTTTTGTCCCACAGAATTGTTAGAAATATTGTCCATTAACAATAAACTGTTTGATTTTGAACTACTTGCATAAGAAAGCTTTCTTTTAAAAGTTGAATTTTCAGCAGCTGTAAAATATAAATAATATTATTTTAAATGATCCACAATATAGATTTGAAAAATTATTATAATATTTACAATCATTGTCAGGAGTATTTTTTTTAAAACTGTTTTGAGTAGTTGCATTCTTTAGTACTAGTTGATCTAAAAATTATTAATTATTTATCACAAAATTGCAAACACTCTATACAATACAAATAAATTATTATAATACCAGAATTTTTTTTAAAAGGTGACCATTTTCCCCTATTTTTTGGAGAAAGTACACATTGTATTTTATTTGGCGAAGGTGACCATCCAGGATTTTTAAATTTATCAACCTTATTGATACCCTGGGAATCTTCTTGATTATATTTCAGATTTTTCCATTTATGTTCAGATGCCATTTTACTGCCAGACTTAAAATCTGAAACTTAAAATATTGATTATTTTAATTAAATAAATGTATTGTATATACATACAATATATTGTATGTATATCCATACATATATCTTCTAATAAGAAAATTGTATATGTAGCCATGTAGGTATTTAAAAATGTTTGATCATGCTTAAGATTTCTGATAAAGAAAAAAAAATGTTCTTACTATCATTTTCACCAGATTCATCAAACTCTTCTGAATTATTTTTAACAATTTTTGTTTTCTTTGTTTCTAATA